ATATAATAAAGCCAAAAATATTAAAAGAAATGAAAATTAAATATGAAAAAAAATCAATAAAACATTGTAAGTTAATTCTATGCAAATATTGAAAAACTAGATTTGAGAATAGCTATTAAAGACAGTTGTAATAAGAAAAAATAATAAAAATTTCAGTTAAAAATCAGACGAACAGGGAAACACTTGGCAAAACTCATGACACCTCAGGGCCAAAAAGTACAAAATAGCTGTGACGCAATATTCATGTAGTATGTGGAGTGCTTTAAATTGGAACAGGAAATTAAAACATTTTGCCAGACAACAAAGAACACATGAGATATGAAAATGTTAAAAACAAAAAAAAATTGAGTCAAATGTGAAGCTCATAAACTTAGTCAGAGCGAAGGAAAGTAGTCCAGAGAGTAGATAAATTACAAAAGACGTGAATAAACAGCAAGCAGAGTGAAGCAAACACGAACAAACAACAACAAAACAAAGGCAAAAGCGAAAAGTGCAAGTGCCAACACATAAAACATGTCCAGTTTAATGGCAGCAGCTTAAAGGATTACCAAGGCGAATGGGGTCGAGTCGTAACTTATATAATCAAGCTTTAAGACAACTATTTTCAGAGGCAGCGAAATCGATGAAAGTGCATGAAAATGAAAGAGAGAATCAATCGTTCAGCTAACACTTAAAGGATTACTGCGATGCAAAGCGCAGTTAAAACTGCTTGAGAGCATTGGTCTACTATGATTCTTATTGGATATTGGATCCAACTTGAAAAAAAAACATAAATTCAGTCAGAATAGCTATTGACATGATCGGTATTATTAGATAATTTAATATTCAAGTCAATTCGTATTAGACAAATCGAACAATGTAACTTGTAAATCGCAAGTATTTCTCTTAGAATTCAATTTAATTCTAATTAGACTTTAACAGAGAGTCTTCAATCATCGCTCTGCACTGCTGCTTAACAGTTTTCCAATTAACAGCAGTTATCAATACTAAAGTTAGGTCAGCGACCTTCAATATATATGTGTGCATCTGTTAGCGTGAATTTGTATGTGTGAGCTTGTATGCGTAACACCATTTAAAAATATATTTTTAAAGAAATCCGTTTGGACTTTCAATTTGCGAATTGTTTGAAAATCGCAATGCTAAAAAGCCACAAGAAAACAAAAAGAAAAGCAAAACTTTGGAGCTTGTCACCGTTGAACGCTTGACAGCATTCAATTAGCCCCCCACCACAAACCCTTCTAACCAGCAGCAGCAGCCTTTGGGCCTGCTGCCCACAAAGTACAGTTAGCAACAAAATGCACACAATGAGCTGTTTGAATGACTCTTAAGACACAATATTAGTCATTTATGTGTATTTCTTATTTATGCAGTCATATTTTTACTTGTATTTCTCTCTGCCTCTTCGCATATCGTTTCTTTTGTTTTGTTTACATCATTTTTTATTCAAATTTTGAAGACTTCTTGTATCGAACTTCGAATGAAGTAGAGATTGAAAGAGGGATAGAGAGAGAGAGAGAGAGAGAGAGAGCAAAATATATAGACATTATTATGCAAATTTTATTTTGTATGCCTCCCATTGACACTTTGCGCTTTGACAGGTTTATCATCGTCTACGCTGCGCTCTGCCGCTACCTCTCTGTCTCTCGTACAATAACAATTGACTTGTTACGTGCTTGCGCTTC